TCAATTTTCAGCGATGTGGCGATCCGATTTTCTCAGATGAACGTTGATCAAACCTCGTCTGTTCGGTTCAATAACCCAACCACGTACACCTTTCTAGTTTCACATCGCACTTTTTCCAAGTAATACTTCCGGATCGTGCAAAAATTGAGCGGCCGCTTTGCACGCGAATTATTGATAATTAGGAGAGTAGAAATAGTTAGCTTGAGAGTAATAATACGAGGAAAGTGTCAGGTCGTTTTAGAAGTTCCTCTGCAATTATCTCAACTGTACCAAATTATACGGTGAATTGTGTGCTGGTGCAACCTTTTTCTGTGCTGCTAGTAACATAAAGTGAGAATTTAACGCGACTGTAAATGACAGAATGAAAAAATATTTCAAGCTCCTTCTCATCTAAGGAAGAAAATATACAGGAATATAAGAAATATTAGTTAGGAAATATTGGATTGTGTATACAGGGTGAACTATCTAACGTGATTACTTTACCTTGAAAATTTAAAAAAAGTAGACGAAGACGAAAAGTAGAAAAAGAATTCGATGACCATAATCACTGATAGTAGAGTAATCGAAGATGATCTACAATAATTTACCGAGAATTCTGTGAATTTTAATTGAACTCCAAAAAATTGAAAATCACCCAAGTGATCAATTTTTGAAGAATTTTACATTCAAACGATCATTACCCTTAGTTCCTCCAGCAGTAATTCCCAAAAATTTGCACGATCTTCAAATAAACCCCTGAAAAAATTGACAATCACTCGACCTATCAATTTTTAATAATTTAAAATTCCAACAAACACCAGCTTAGACTCTCCAACAGTAACTTCCCAAAATTTGCACGATCTTCAAACAAATCCCTCAAAAAATTGACAATCACTCGACCTATCAATTTTTAATAATTTAAAATTCCAACAAACACTAACTTAGACCCTCTGATACTAACACATGTTTTAGCTGCCGGGACCCCGAAATTGACAGAAATACGAGCAGATAAGTACTTGAAACCATGGTCAGGACCGTACAAAGAATTCTTCTATCCAGCGAAAGTCAAACTGATTCTAATATATTTACTGAAAATTGAGTTCAGCTAGGACAATTTAGGGTTTTTTTCTTCTGGGAAAAGCCGCATTTGGAAGTACGGTTACAAGATGCAGATAGAAAATGCAAAAGGATTGTGTAGCTTTAATATTAACATATTTTCCATTTGTAAATGAAATACCATTTTCTACTTGAAGTACCAAATCATATGCTACCATTCGTTTATTGTTGGAACCCTCAAACAGACTGCAACACACGGCCTTGAATGCCGCAACATCAATCGGTGCCGATTCTTGAGAGTTTAATTTACGACCTCGCTATATCGTGGCCCCAACTATACCAAGAATTGTATAAACTTCAAAGTAACCCAAAAAAAAAATTGAACTTCACTTCAGAGACTGTTGGATTATTTCTAACAACACCCTATGGAAATAATCAAGCACGGGGCAAAAATGTCTCCGCGTTACTTTAAACAAAGGCACATTATTTCTAACAACACCCTATGGAAATAATCAAGCGAGGACAAAAATGTCTCCGCGTTACTTTGAACAAAGGCACTAAGACTTCCAGCAGATGTGTCTGGTGTCTGTCTTCGAGTCACTCACTGCACAATGCGATACCATAATGTAAACAGTTCCTAGGTACAAGGGGACCCCAACTTTCCTTTTGGGTGTCCAGAAACAGTCCTTTAGAAGATCCAATAGCGTAAAGACGTTTCCTCATGAGTCCGTCGATAAATAGCATATTACAAAGTTAAAAGACTATTTCTTTTCGTAACCCATTTCCGATAGAGACCAATTCGCAAATAACCCAAAATCCAACGTTTCACGTAACAAAACTACGTGAAACGCCGACCATCGCCAGCTGTTTATCAATTCACCGGTCGCAGACGCGACGATTTATATCCGAGCGTCCAGCGATAATAAGACCGCGTGTGCCGTGTACCAAACACGCGCCATTACAGCCATTTAATTATAAGTTTATGCCCGAGTTTATTGTTCCGCCGTGGAAAATGGAGACGACGGCGTCGCTCCTCCAGGACCCGCGCCGCTGTTGGCCATCGACGTCGCAAACGACCTGGGCACAAGACGCTATATCCACAGCGTGCACCGCCGCGTTTGCACGTACGTTTTACGAGAAACAATAAGCTCGCTCCAGCTTAATGACGTCATCAAACGGTATTATGCCTCGCGGACCGCGGAGTGGACGCTTTCCTCCCTTGGATGGATGCATTTTCTGGCCGCGGGACGCGCGTTATGCACGCCCATTTGGGAAAGGGTTTCCTCTGCGTTTAAGAGTGCAAAAAAGAAAGAAGATAGAGAACCTCTCGTTTCACCACCGGGAAGTATAGCGGTTAGCTTGGTGGTTGACCATTCGTCGTGTCTCTCCGTTGGATCCTGGACTTTTGTAATTATTTGCGCGCGTAATTGTTGGACTGTATTGCATAATTTCTGTTTCCTGCCAGAGAGGGTTCACGACTGTAAACGGAGCAGTTTGGTGGAATTTACTGGGTGTTTCGGAAAGATGGTGACGATGTTGTTAGGTGCGAGAGGTGATAGCGTAGATGATTGTGTTTTTTAGTCATTTCGAAGTTACCTATACATTTATCTGTAGTTCGTAAGTCTAGTTTTGCTAATTATTCTTCATACTCTTCAGTATTTAAAGCTCACTTTACCGAAAGTAACACTCGTTCCTTTTTCTCCTTTAATCTTCAATTATATCGCATAATTTGTGTCGTTTCTTACCGAAGAGGGTCACCTAGTGTAGGTTGACGATTTGTGTGGAACTTGCGTACTTGCAGGGTGCTTCAAAAAGATTCTACTAATTTTCTTACCTTCTAACAACTTGTTGGATTATTAGGAGAAATGAGCGTGCGTCTGTGTAATAGTAACAACAAAAATGATCAACATTAGGGCTGTTACTTTTAACCGGGTATTCGAGTCCCCTTGAGATACCCGGGTAGATGAAAATAACCCGAGTACTCGAATATGTACATGAGACAGTCGAAATCTCGGTGGCCGCTGCCGCTGGCGTTGTCGGCAATTACTATTGCAAGAAATGAAAATAAACAATTGTAGGACGTCCAGGAAAATCACGTACAACAATTAATTACTTCATCAATTAAATTGTAGATATGCAAGTAATATGAGTAGAGTACTCGAGTAAAACATACCGGGTATCTAAGTACCCAAACAGTCGAGGAATAATAGATATCTACTAATAATTTCTGATTACCCGAGTATTTCACGAGTAACCCGGGTATCTCTTAAGTAACAGTTCTAATCAACATACCGAGACAGATTAATATAAACATATACAGAAAAATAACAGTAATCATCTGTTTAGCATGGGTGACGCTGGTATGTTTTATCTTTCTCAGAGTCTTGTCGATGCGTCTTAGGGACGTGCCTTCCTTGCGTATCAAAATAAAGAAGTATTTATAATTCGAATAATATCTTTCAATTTATTACCATAAATTCTAATACAACTAACACCTTTTCCCAACTTGAAACTCTTTTACTCAAAATAAAATTAAGCGAATTCTCATCCTTTCCATACTCTATTCATTTTCTCACCTTCTCACACCTGAAAC